AAATCACGTTTTGAAAATGAATACGGTACGTACTACTCTAGGAACAGATATCGTCGGGGAAGAATATTAGCATTGACTTTGTTGGGGCTGTTCTTTATGTAGATTCGATCAACTTGGTGAGCAGATACTACCTGCACAGTGCCATCAGCAATTGTAGAGAGAAGGAGACGCCTTGCTAACTTCAGTTAATCATTGGCATGTTAACAGGGTCGGCTGGGGAGCTCTTTGCGTCGGTAAGTGTCTCATTTAACTTTGGCCTTGCTGTCAGCAATTGCAAGTTATTTGAGTACCAGCAAAACTGACAATCCTGCAGCTGGCGGCGGAGCCTACTACTTTGCCAAAAAGTCCATCAATGCGGACCGTGCGTCTAGATATGAAGCAGAATTGAAGAAGAAGGCGCAGCTTGCCGCGATGGAAGCAGAACACCGACGCCAATCTTCTCTCAACGAGCCGATCACCGCACCGTCAGAAAACCCCAGCTTGAAACGGGCGAACATGGCTCGCTTCCAGAGTGCGGCGGATGATGTCGCTTCGCCTAGTGCAGAGGCAGGACATGATCCCGCACCGACTCGTCACGAGCCGGAGACGGAGGCGGAGCGGGTGCTCGAGAAGGGGAAATATGAGGCTACTCAGCCGTTTCGACCTCCGAGGGGCAACCGACTCAGCTAGAGCGATGTTTTGGTTTTGTTCACCGAGGGCACGTCAAAGGAAGGTGTATGAGAAAGTCGCCTAAATGGTTGTAGTAATACGCTGTCGTTGGATGTGATAAGCTATGTACCATATTCTCTGTGTTTTTCTGCACTCTCTTCGCCTCACATACCATCCTACCACCAATGACCTTTCAGACTGAAGATTAAATGAGGCTACAGGCATCATGTCATCATCCAGATGCATCTGAAATAGTGAATGCAATAGGTCACCATCACCCTGAATTGTGGATTAATGTATTTTTTTTGAGATGGATATTATGTCTTATTTCAGACTTAACTAGTTGAAAACATACGGACATTCCTTAGTCCCACTGATCATAGAAGCAATATCCGAGCACCAGTAACGCMGAACTATGCATGGCCCGCCTGTTAGTCTTCATATATTTGCGTCAAAGCTGCCAGTAACCCGCCGACAGCGCCCTCGAAGGGTAAATCGGAAGACCTAATAACTTTTGTCATTTTGAGGGACAAGTCCCTCAGTCGAAGTTGTCAAAGCCTCCTAGTTTGTGCACTTCAACGAGCATGGAAGCAAAGGGGTGGATGCGGTCTGAACAAGATCAGTATGCTGATTAGCGGATTGGCGAGTTCAGAGTACAGGGAAAGTTCACTTGTTTGAATAAGTCTTGTCCTTTTCGCGAAAGCTCTCCAGCGCCGGAGGTACAAAAGGGAGAAGGACTGCTGAGACAAGACAGGAACTGGCTATGAATCTGGAAGTGCGAGTATCTGGTGGAGGACGGCGGACAGAGAAATGGCGGATTGCTGGACGGACGGGAATTGAAACGGACATTTTGAAGATGACTTCAAAGAGAAGAAGGTTGTTTGTGTTGAATGGCTCTGTTGTAGAGGTAGAGTTCCGTTATGCTTTCTTCAGGCGTGTGTGGTTGTTGCAGAAATAATATGTGTGTTGATGCTTGGTGGTGTATACTGAGGGTACTCTAGATGTTTTGCGTGGGTAGTATCGAGAGAGACTCGATAGTGAGTGGGCAGCCTGAGAAAATGCGAAATGATACAAGGGACAGCCGAGATTATATGAACATCATATCATGGTTCTACACGCCTAAATATAAATCACTCTGAGCCTCTCAGGGTACTTACAACATGCAATCCAACCTCACCTGCAACCCTGGTGGAGAGTAGACTGCGGGGATCCATCAAACAATGACCCACTTTGAGTGATGATGGCAGGGAAGGAAGAGTGGCGTGAACTTGAAAAAGGGAGGGTAAAGTCTCTCACGAGCGAAAATTGTAGAAAATGGATGCAGAGCTGACCCACGGAGGTCAGTCAGATCATACACCTCCGTCGGCAGATGGATCGGAAGGCGGGGGCCGAGTGGTCACACTTTTTGAACTTTCATTAAGTACCTTGAGCTTCTTAGTGATGGAAATGACTTATAACTTTGGACTCTCCATGTATGGCAATGTCTACCAGAGATACTAGATACCTTGGTGACAACAACAAATACAGCACCCGAGGTGGCTTTTTCAGGCCTAACACCTTACTACCGCGCCCCTCGCCAGGTACACGTAATGGAGGTACATCCTCACGCCATCGACAGGCAGATGATCGTGAGATCCAGCCGGACGAATCGCTGCGAAGCCGACGAGAAGCGTGCTGTGATAGTCTACTCTGTAATCCCAAGGTAGATAGATATGTTGTCCTAAAACTCAGGGCCATGCAGTCCATGGAGCCGTTGAAGCAATTATCTCGGCGAGTCATGGCTAGGGCTGATGGCGGATTTCCTTTTCCGAAACCAGCATATGTTGACAGCGTTCATTTGGTCCATTATTGCTGCTGATAAATTTGTTGAGGTTGACTCGTCAGTGAAAATCATACCATCGAAAGAATCTGTATCTTCCGTTTGGGGATTGTTATCTAGTGACTATAAGTGCCTGAGGCATAAATACTTATACTACAACATCTGAGAGGTGATCATGCCACTCTCTCCATCATCTGGTGATTCAAATGGTGCATCCCTCGAGAAAAGATATGAGCGCTGAGAGCCCACATTTGCCCTTGGAGCTAAGCTGATCGTCTGAAAGGCCTTCAACGTAGATGGACCGAGAAGGGCGAGAGCTACGAGCAATGTAAAGTCAGATCACGTGCAACAGACGGAGATCCCGCAATCGAGTCTGAAATGTCGCTGCAATCATATTCTTCGACCTGGCAACTCTCCTCTTGCTCGCGTACTTACCATAGCAATGGCCTCTCACCAAGTTGCCATTGCGAAGGCATCTTTTTCAGCTGGGCTTTTACGCCCTGACCCCACTTCTGTCCCGCGCGATGAGATCACAGCCTTCCACACTCTGCTTGACACGGCGCTGTCGCATTGCTCCGTAGCGAACATCCAGGTTTGACTTGTCGAGTCCTGCCCGTCGGTGTTACTGGAATACTAAACTTTTCGCTCCCGACCTGTATTAGAAATGCAAGACATGGCTCTTGAATTATGTCGTCTCGTCATCTAACCGCGTTGGTGTCTGGGGTAAATACCTGGTTGCTTTGTCCGGTTCGTTTACCACCGGGGAAAGTGGTCAACCGTCCAAGCCGGCAGAGTCTCGTTCTGGCCCCTCGTCAAAAAGAAAGAGGCTGCATATTCTGTATCTACTCAACGATCTTTTCCATCATACCAAGTACCATGCGGACACCTCTGCGGCATTCTCCACGCTGAGTGGTTCACTACAACCGCATATCGTGGAACTACTGGGTTACGCTGCATCATACGATCGATCCAAGAACCCAAAACATCATAGGCGCTTAGACGATCTACTGGACATATGGGATAAAAATGGGTACTACGGTGCCGACTATGTCAACAAGCTGCGGGAGGTTGTCAAGAACTCGGCTGTGTCTGGACCAGTCAAGTCATCAATTGATGTCGAGCAGAGCAACACGGACACGATCTACCGACCTGCAGAGAAGAATATCCCTTTTGTGATGCCGTCGACTCACGGAGATTCTTCTGCTCCCTATTATGACCTCCCAGCCGGCAATCTCGTCCCGCACATCATTCCCGATTCGACGGTTCCTCTACGCCCAGATACCATCAAGCCTCTGCAGTTCCTGGCTGGGCCAGCGGATGGGAAACTGGTGACGGCGCTCAAGGCATTTCTCAAGGATGTCGATCGGATGTACAACTCCCGACAAACAGAGCAGAAAGAGAACGAAGTAGTAGACATTGATGAAATGGGCCAGACAATTATCCGAGATAGCTCCACGGGAGACATTCTCTATGGTGACACGTACTATGGATGGTCGCGGGCCTTTTGTCAGCAGATGAAAGAAAGACGAAACCGCACTCGGAGTGCCAGCCGCAGMCGCAGTCCTTCAAGGAGACGTCGCTACAGTGGCAGTCCAGAGAGCGACGACAGCCGATGGAGGAGCTCAAGCTCCCGTAGCCGGTCGGCTCCGCGCAGACATGAAGCTAATGACCGGCGTTATGACTCTCGGTCTCGTTCTCCACGAAGATCACGGTCCCGAGAGAGGTCCTATTCTCCACGCGCACCATCCCCTCCTCGATATCCACCTCCTGAACATCAGAGCCCTCAATACAGCAGCGCAGGGCCTCACGGATTTCACCCTTCTCACCCTCCGCCTCCACCGCCTATGCATTTCCCTCCGAGCGGGAACGTGCCACCCGTGCCACCTGCGTTTCCCCCACGGATGGCACCAGGTGCTCCCCCACCTCGCCCACCAAATTATCAAGGCCAGTGGCCTCCACCCCCACCTCCGCCACTGCCGACGATGCAATTTCCTCCTCAGGGCACGGGAATGAACCCGTCTGCATTCCCGCCACCTTTTAACGCGCAAGGACAGTTCCCTCCCTGGAACATGGGCTCGGCACAACAGATGCCCCCGGGGTCAAATCACTTTCCTCCGCCTCATCCTGGGGGCCAGGGACGGGGCACGTCGGGTCAGTGGAACCAATACGGTGGTGGATACCCGCCGTCTGGCCGGGGCTGGAGGTAGAAGTAGGCGTGTCAAGAATCTACTGTACATTAACTTTACGTTCTGATGGTGCATGAAATATGTTTAAGCGAGTATGACACTCCTGCAGCGATCACAATCGCGGGAGAAGAATAATATTACAAATCCAGTCTCCAAACCTTGCAAAATCGGTATAATGCTATGACACATCAGAGGAATGTAAGAAATGCAACAAAAAGCCTGCAAGCACGATGAAGAGCACTCGGAGGACAGCAGGCCAATATCCTCACCATGGCTCGCCCACATAATACCATCCACACAAAGAATGCATTATGCCCTCTCTCCTTTATATATCACAAAAGTCCGCATTAAACCCTGGTAGGCGTCGCCCTCGCCCTCGAGACAGACGAGCCCATCGGACGGACTGGCGCCGGGCTAGGAGTAGCAGACTCCGACATCATCGCGCTCCGATACGCCGAATACCGGCTCTGCTGGCGGTCAATCACGTCCTGCTCCTTCTTCTTCGCGACCGCAAAGTCCTGGCAGGAAGTCTGCATGAAATTGTCCGCGGCCTGGGAAGGAAAAACCAATGTCAGCCGTCAGCCAATCTCCATTCCATTCAATTTCCGTCCTCGCGGAATTGAATTGGAGCATGCACTCACAACAGCTGAAGCATCATCACAGCACATGACTGCATCCCCGCAGTCGGTTTCTGGGGCCGTGTCCGCCATTTTTTTGCCTGTTTAGTATGAGATCAGTACATGCGGCCAGACAGGCAGGGATACACCTGATGATAAAAGAGGAAAGGAACTTACACGACAGCCCAACCAGGGACTTCAGCTCAATTGCCCCCAGGATCGGAACGACCATGCCCAATGGCTTGAAGAGGCTGTCACCTATCTCGCTGAGGGTTGCGCAACATTGCTTGGACTGCGTTCCGGGACAAGAATTAGGTGCGCTGAGTGTTGGCGAGGGTAGAGTCGCCGTCCCAGTTGATGAAGGAGTCGATTTTGATGCGCTGGTTGAGTTGGATGGTAGGGAGTAGGGGAACGCGAGTGTGGTTGAGAGTGTAGAGAGAGTGCAGAATATAGTTAGAGGACGCATTTTGGTTGATTATCACTTTGTTCGTGACTTGAGGTTGTGGTTGGCGCGTCAGCGAGTTCGACGATGGACTGCGACGCCAGTTTTGTTGGCAGAGTCTGAGAAATATACAATCGCTCGGAGGCGGGTTTTCAAAGCGAAGACGACGGCGAAAATGTCGGATCGGTTACTTGGTGAAGGGGTCGATTATCTGAGACATTGTAGGTAGAAGTGTCGTTGTCCCTTGTTGGCAGAAGAAGGTGTTTCAGTGACTTTGAACTATACCGCGGTGTTTGGAAAACACGTCCAAGACAGGTATGAGTGGACGTGAGTGGTATGACCGGCGTTTGAGCATCGAACTTATCCATATGGAATGTTGTTCGAGTCCAGATCACGTATGAATGGAATGCGCGTGAGATCCATCGGGAGCAGTTCTGATAGAATTGCAGAGGTCGCGATCTGAACGCGAATGAGAAAATCACATTTCCGGCATTGAAGCAGCATCGTTGAAGGTATATGACTGCGACTATCCTGTGTCTCAAACAGTGCGCAGTCTCTGATTTGTATCAAGGGCCAAGTTGTTGTTATCGGTTCATGCTCATCCCTTCCACACATCCTGGAATAGTCAGGATGGCTAATGGGGATGCTTACTCCAAGGTGAGTAATCGATCAATCGAGTCAGTCGCCCTGCCCATGCAAGGGGCTACATGGAGCAGAAACTCAAGCCTTGCCTCTGAAACTACGTTTCGAAGCAATACCTACAATTGGTCCAGCGTCGACCCTAGTTGGCCCAAAAAGGACACAATAAGACATTAATACCGTGCATAAATCCTCGAGCTGCTGCCCTAGGTTCACTAAACGTAGCCACGAGTCACATATAGAACACATCATGAGCAGGAAGGCCGTAGCATCGTAACAAGATATAGTCAGTCAAGGGAAGACCAGTTCCCTTGGAGAAGAACAACCAGCAAAATCACGCCGGCAGCAATGAAACAGTGTCGGATACAAAGATCCGACTGTCCCTCCCCCTGAAAAAGATGAATCATGGACCAGCAGAGATATCCCGGGATGAGGTGAAGTTGTTGATTGACGGCTGCTGTCAGAATATGAAGACATACACCGAACAGCTACAATCAATGGGTGAGTGCGAAACGGTTGGACGCCTTTATCAGGCCAAACGAATGATAAGATATGAAATGACGAAAAATCAGAGCAGAACGGGAGGGGTTAGCAACTGGGGAGCCACTATATAAAGCCACCTTGAAAGAAATTCCCAATCAACAACCTCAAAAAAAGGTTTTGAAGGTGAAAATGAACTCTGTCGGAGATGGTTGGTTCCTACTATGCCGCATGTATCAGATGCAGGAGGTATCCGAGAAGGAAAAATAAGCATCGTCGGATCAAGTGTAGGAACAAGCGTGTTCTAGTGGTATTAAAAAAAAATCAAAAGGGGCAGTTGAACAAGAAAGGGGGCGATGATCTCGGCGACAGAGATCGAGAAAACACCCTCGAAAAGGATCGCCTCGCTGTCGCTAGAAAATCGTAGAACGCTTCCTCGCTAACTCATCAAAACGCCGGAAAGATCGACGGGGAACAAAGTTTCTGGCCATTGAAGCTTCCCATGAAAGCATCAACACTTCTTCCATCGAAGAAAGAAAACACCGCATCATCGTCGTCATCATGGATAGTGGTCAACGACATATGAGAGACAATACGGAGTAGATCCCGCAACACCAAACCCGTAGTCGTTGTCAGAGAGCGTCGCCTACGAAGATGGAAATTCAAAGCCCTGTCTTCGGATCGCCAGCGTGCTTAACGGGTTTATGACCGGGTGTCTGGGAGTTGCGAAGGTGAGAGGCTTCCAGAGAGGTGGGGCCTGCAGCCTGACGGGCCAGCACACCACTGGTTGAGACACCACTATTGCCGCTGCTGTCGCTACTCCGGCTGCTGCGACTGGGAGGAGGAGTGCTGTCGTTGCCCATGTCCAGGAAGGTCGACATGCGTCGCTGGGTATACTGCAGCATAACGCGGTTGTAGTCTTCAATAGATAAATTAGGGTCCACCGATCGTTGGGTTTCAACGTGGGTCTCGCCCGGAGGTCGACATCCCCCTCCGTCAACGGGGAAAGTTGGGTCCGTGTTCTTGGGTTGCTGCATGACCCTGACTTTTCCTTGCGTTGTTTCCTATGAGACAATGTCAGTGTTGTTGATATCAATCATCCTCCCAGTGCGTTAGCCACTCTACAACATATCAGCTGGTGATATGGGGGGACTGCGTGGGACAGGATCGTAATCGTCGTCCATGTTGCCGAGTCACTTGCTAATGACGTGGCGTAGACGGTTTTAAATGTGCTTCAGCCCTGTTGCTGCTGCTACTGCTACTGCAAAACAGCAGCGAGAGGTAATATACCAGAGAGAGTGAGGGAAGGGAGGGAAAGACTCCTTAGGTGGGACGCGATAAAATTTTGGATGCTCACCTTTTCCACGAGAAGAGTCAGCAAGGGGAACAAGTGGGCCACAGGACGAAAGAGAAGCAGTTAGACGGCCTCGAAGTCGCAAGAAGTAGCAGAGGACACAGACAATGACAATGATAAGGATGAACGGGAGTAGTAAGAAAATGAAGCACAGGATGTGTCAGGAGGGGGAAGACACGCAAATACCCTAGGGTCTAGGTATGACTAGTACGGATGTGGCTTGGACACGGGGTTTTGATGCAGACACAGAATGGGTAAGACAGATGTCATGGGAATATTATATCTTCGTGCATTAATGTATTCGGTAATTTTCGAGAAGTAAGGGTATATATCCTCCTTTCGGGTCCTATATGAGATCACAGTCCCAGTGACAGCGCTACCCAAAGGCACAGTGTAAGAAAGAGAGCTTGACCGGCATATCTCATCCGGACCACAGGCAGGCGAACCATCGATCAATACTCAAATCGGGGGTTTACCCACGTCCAGTATTGCTGGAGACTGGAGTCCTCTGAGGCTCGAAATAGGATGACATCATTGGTCAGGACGTCCAGCCGACAGTACTGACACAAAACTAGAGGAAGAAAAGAAGACGAAAAGGGAAAAGGTTTTTGGAGGCTTTCTTTTTCTGTTTGCTCGGACTCGTCAGTGATAATACAATTCGACGGGTCGCTGTCATGTAGTTAATCCTTTTTAGGGGGCACTGTACATTTAGGATGGCTGGGATCGGCAATAATAACAGACTCCACTACAATCTGATGGGTTGGCGGACCTCCAGATGGTCTTACGGGGACCGGAATGAGGTCACTGGAGGGTCGGGAGTGGACCAAAAGAAATTGATGGCGCTTTTCGATCGACAAGACGAGGCAAACCGTCCCTGCAGATCACCACTGGGAAACAATTCTGTCAATGTGGTTGATTCGTTGTAATTGGAGTCTCTGTGGCCCAGATGCCGTCGAGACAGGCATTCAAGAAGTTGCTGAGAGACTGTTGTCTGTATGGTCATCTGTGCGGAGATGAGTGCCTGAAAGCTATCCATGATTCTCCACAAGCAAACTGTGTTGATCCATTCTAAGAAACATAGGACCAGAGGTGCCAATGAATCAAGTTTAGTTATTATGCTAATCATTAGTTATGCGAGTCTGATCCTGGTGGCTTCGTGCAGTGTATTCAAAATAGCTTTGAAAGCAAGATAAGTATTCCTCGGCCTGTTGGGCAGAACTCATCTGTTGAAGGACGAATAATAAGCAGCCCATCAGAGAGTATCCTCAACGAATCGAGGATATCGCCAGGCTCATAGCTGTTAAGCGTCCTAGGGCTATGCTGTAAAACAGGCGGAGAGGGTGCAGAACGAGACGGATCGGTACTGCACAATTGTCCACTGAGGATTCATCGAGCAGACCGAGAGATTAGCCAATGTGAGGTTGTCAGGATCGCTTGATCAGTCGCTCAATGATAACCTAGGCAGGTAGGCAGGTGGATGGAACAGAGAACGGACAGTGGTTGAAGCTGTGGGCCGGAACCCCATGTCTTTTGGTGCTTCCTGTGCATGGGGATGACATACCTGTGTCTGTGCTGCTCTACGCCATCAGCCCGGGTGAAGTTTCGATGGATTTCCATCTTGTCGTTTCTGTGGTGGAGAAAAAGACATAAGCAAGCCTCGGTGTTTGAGGTTACTGAATGATGCCATGTGGCTTGTGCTACAGCCTACGGGTACATTACGTATATATGCTAACTTATATATCTGCTGGAAGCCAAAGACTCTTGTAGATAATCGGAATATAAGGATATTGAATGCGAAACCTCAATCGCTATCTATAGCGATTCGCAATAATTGTAAGACGAAATGTCTTGGACTCAAGATCTCGCAGCTTTCGACAACAGATGATCAGCGTGCGGAGTATAGATACCTACCTACCGCAGCCACAACCTTCGGCTTTATCAACCAAGTGGACATCGTGGCAATCTTAGGGCGATGTGCAAAGGAATCCTATAGGGCAGCAAATCCAAAGGTAAAGGTTCAATATACCTTGGTAATCTCCAGCCAAGCCATGTCGGTAAATGATTAATTCTTGCCTCTCCGCCCAAGATAGTTTAGTTAAATTAGTCCAATATATATTGCTCCCTCCGTCCCTCGCAACCCTTTTCCGAAGCCACTAGAAGCCAATTGGCTTTCGTTCAACCCATGGATCGCGAACAGTGGAGAGAAAAGGAGGGAAAATTAAAAAATGGGGGATGCAGTCATTTGCCACCCCGACGCTCATGTCTGCCATGTTGTCAATGCACTAACTCGAAGTTCGTCGCCAACTTTCGTCCGCTAGGAAATGCAACGCGGATCTTCTAACCGATCTGCGGTCTCTGGCTGTCAATAGTCGACATAGACAGATCTTGGAGATTGGAGTAGAAGCACCTAATATGGTCATACAGCTACATACTTGTTCACGGCGCATTCGCGATCTTCCGGTGAATTTCGTGGCCCATCAGTATACTACCAGCGCGCTGGACGGGTTGATGCCGCAGAGGAACCTCTTCTAGAAGTGGATAGTGGACTAACGTTGTTGGGTCCTTACCGATGGCTGGCGCCGAGAAAACTCATGTGGGAACGGCACGGTATTCGAAAAAGCGCAGATTGGCATGTCCTGGTCGCAGCTTGATCGATTCCCATGATGTTTGTCTCGTCAGTCGACGCAGCTTGGACGTTGCCCGGATGAGATCAGCGGTATCAGATCTTCCCCGGTCAGGCAAGTCAGTATCAACCTTTCCTCTTCCACGCCGTACCATCCATCACTGTTCGCTTCTCTGAAGGCCATCTTTTCGTGTTCCAAATCCAGGACCAGAGTTCATTTGACCACCCCAAGCGCGTGGTTATCCACAGCAGATCCAAAGTAGAACCCTTCGAGTACGAATGATATTTCGTAGTGTAGGTAGCACTCGGACAATTGTCATGAATATGGTGGCAGCAGAAGAGCAATGTGGTCCCAAGCACCACCTATGATGTCTCTGATGATATCACACTGTTTGGGATGGATGAAGGGATGAAATCACTGCGCGACACAGAATTCCACCTAAGGATTAACGCTCAAATGGCAGGCCTGCAGCAAAACGTCATCTGCTGGAGTACTCTGTAGTACCATTATTCCACCAGACTCGCGTACCTGCCTTTCGAGAGGTATTCATTAAGACAACGTGAGACGCCTGTCCCCAAACTGCTGGGTGGTCCAGTTTTTCTAACTACAGTGGGTCAGCTTTAATAGCCAGTACAGGAGTGATACAGCGACATCCCTAGGTACCAACGACTCCCCATTATCTGGACACGAGAAGGAGGTTTGCCATATCTTAAGGGTAGATGAAGTAAAAAGGTCTAAAGGGGCAACAAAACGATTTAAAGCGCCTGATGGGGGCTCAACCCCGACGTTCAGATAGGCTTCCAGGGTTGACCTACAAGTCTGACACTCTAACCGACTGAGTTAATCGGGCTGGTTGATTCTCGCTGCCAAGAAAAAGGCCCATATCCCGCATTCCACATTAGTAGTCTTCGGTATTGGATAGGTGTCGCAGTCGAAATTTGGACGTGGATTGAATATCCTAGAGAAACAGACCTCAATCAATCCCACATTTGACATTACTTGACCTTTTATTCTCATTAACTCGCTAGATGGATTTAAAAAGTTTCAATTGCAAATAGTGCGGACTTAAACAGTCTGCCTTTCCTGCACAGTACAATTCTCTCAGTAATCTAGAGGCATCAGGATGCCTTCTCAATCTCCGTGATTCAGCGCCGGATCATATTTTATATTAAAATGCACTGATTGGCATATTATTTTGAATATATATTTTCCGTCACTATCATCTTTCTCATAATCACCGCTATAGTTCGGAAAGCTAGCCATTATTGACTTGATCAGAAACTCAACCACGAGGGTGAAAGCGCTCTAAAACCCTCTTCTGTAATTCCATACAGGGAGAAACAAACACTGGGTGGATAGTGACTGCCCCGTTTGACAGGGTTGAAATGAGTCTTTCTGCTGTTCTCCCTATCTCTGGGGAAATTATTGAGTGGGATATTCTAAGTGCCTTTAGGCTGGGTTAGTCCATCTCTCAACAGGGAAAGGATGTTAGAGTGCTCTGATTGTACATACTTCTAGGCGAGCAGGACTTTGCATAGCTGACATTGACTCTTAACAGGTTCAGGCCGTCCTACTCTTTGAGGAAGCTCCTTGTGAAAGAGTGGTTAAGGAGTCCTAGAAGGTGTATTAGCCTTGGCCATAGATAGAGACTGTTATTGCTGTTAGCTTCTTTCTAAACCTTGGATCTCAGCAATATTGAAAGGATTGACTGGCTTATACTATTTCAGAAATTCCAATCTATTCTCCTTTGCTTATTTCATGTCACTCCACACCCACAGCAGAAAATTATAGGCCAATTTTTTTTTTTTAATAATCTGCTTTCTAGTAATAGCGGATCTCAGGTATTACTAGGTCTTTTCATCAAACTATAACAAGGATGGACAGCTAGCACTATTGATAGTAGAAAGGTGTAAATACCTAATCCCAGAGTTTTCTTGCCAGGCTCATTCAAAGCTCTTCTTATTCTATGGGTTCCTCTCTATATTGAATAAAACTGCAGAGAACATGAATATCAAGCATACTGCAAGACAGTCAAGAACCTCCCGTACAGCTTGAGACTCCAGCATCTCCTCAGCATAGTCAAAAAGTAAAGCTAGGATTTGAGCGCTCCATTGGTCAGTCCTTGTAAGTAGCCAGTTTTATTGAAAAGGAAATTGCTAGACAAAATATGTGGGGAAGATTCTGAGGAAAATTCTGAGGAAGATTCTGACCCTTATAAAGTGAAGCTCAGGCCAGTGAATAACCAAGAACCTGTCTAATGACATAGTCCTCTCATTCATTCCAGTCCAGTTTTAAACTTAGCCTTCTGACAAACATATGGAAGTGTTAAGTGATATCCCACCACCTCAGCCCGTAGGATATGGCTTTCAACCATCTCTTTCCTGGTTCATTTCATCTCCTGCTGTTGTTATGGGTGCCAACACACTTCATATACACTCTCTAGCATACCAGGCCCATGACCAAGGTTTCCTCTTACAGAATTAGTTCTAACCGGCTGAAAACAAAGAGTCGGGAAGACCGCAAGCGTTACAAGGTGCGTAATGATGCGGAGCATGATTGCTCTTACACCCATTTAGAAGAACAACAGCATGCTATGCAATGACTTTCGCCCTGCTCCGCCCACGGATTGAGGTCGCCTCGTCATCGCTAACTTTGCTTGTAAGGGAAACAGGCTTCAGCATCAAAGATGCACTAATTCTAGAACCTATGACAATGGGATAGATACAATAGTAGACGCCACAATTCAACAGACATAACCATAGTATTCATGCTCATTCATCACACGTAGCCTGCAAGGACATCAGTCAGATGTGGACTCGAATCAAGGAACGGAAAAGACCATAGTGCCAGGTTTCAAGCCCACGTAAGCAAGGGAGTACGTACCTTTCCGCGCACCCTGGAAGAAGAACCGAACAATAAACACCTGCAGACCAGCCATCGACACCATCATCAATCCCTCAATCACGCTGAAGTTGAAGATCCGCCTCTCGGTGCTGCGAACCGTGCTGAAATTGCGGTTCTCGCGTGTCCGGAAGTACTTCTGGTTGCGGGCAATAGTCGACAGCTGAGCGGACAGTTTGTAGATAGACTCTTCAAGGGCCGATGCCTGCTCGGGACTGGCACCTTGTCGTGAAGGCAATTGCGCGCGCTCCTCATTCTCGACCTACAAAGTATCCGAGTTAATGCGATAAGTCCTTCGGTACAAATCCAGCCACTGTGTATCCAAGGACCGAAACATACAGCAATCTCAAAGTCGACCAATTTCTCCGCAAATGTTGACATCTCATTGTTGAAGCAGAATCGGTACTCTCCAATGCTCTGAGCCGTGAAGACAAAGTCGCCTTGCCGTTCCTTGGTTCCGTCTAGGACAACCTTCTCTCCTGGTCCGACAACTGAGTAATCGACATCGAAAGAGCCGCCGGATTGAACCTGGAGTCAATGCATTATCAGCCACGTTTCCGTCTATCAAATCCTTGCGCTTGACATTTTCTATTCTCAGAGGTGAAAAGAGGGAGAGCATACAGCAAAATAAAAAGCAACCTTGGCGTTTCTCTGGTCAACGTAGTTATAAAAGCAGGCCTTCTCGTTGGCCTCGAGTCTGTACGTTAAAGCGGTAGCCGTCACGGTCGAGACCAGAGTGGCCAGGAGACCTATTAATACAGTTGAGAATTGCATTGTGGGTTAGGAAAAAGAAAGAGGATCCGTAGTCACACGGGGCGGCTCCCTTCACAAAAAAGCAATTGACTCCAAACACACGCGACTTCTACGGAGCTCAGGAGGAGTGGGAAGTTCTGGACAGCTTTGCGTTCCGCCGCGTTTGTTGTGTTTGCAGTATACCACAATAGGACTAGTCACTATCATTGAGCAAGAAGCTTATTCTGTATGGAGAGCCCTCCCCATAGTCAGATGACAACAGGCGAGTGACAAGTGCCAACTATAAAAGTAATAATACTAAGAGCTCGAGACGGGGTTGGAAGCGCCCAAATGCTAATACCTCCTGCAGGAACGGACACTAGGCCAACCTCGAAAGAAGGTGTAAAATAGTAAAGAAAACGCCAAGACATGGAAGCCATTGGCACGAGGAGAGGACTAAGGAGCCCAGCAGACCTTGAAAATATTCTAAACAAGATATGGTATTTCTCAAGTATGAGGCATCAATAGGAATAGCATGCGTGCTATCTATAAGCATAGGTTTGATGGTAGGAATCGTCGCCACCGAGTACATCGCATTGATCACCTCATCTATCGAATGAAAAAAGACTCACTCCTACTCCAAAAGCTCCGGCTTTTATTTACATGATCCAGTCCCAGCAGATCGTCGGATTCGCCAACAATGTCGGAAAGGATATCATCTGCAATCGTTATATTAGCGCCTCCAATTCTTCGCTTCAGAAGGGCAAATGCAAAACTTACCATCATCAAGATACCGCGGGTTAGAATACAAAGACCGGGGAACGACAGCAAATTTAATCTTCTCAAATTGTTTACCCTTGATGCATGTTCGTTTGGAGAGCCTCTCTTTTGTTTCCTTGAAGATCTCGCCCTGAAAGTTTGTGAGCATCAGTGAAAGCCAAAAAGATCGAAATGGGATGTGCATACAGGTTTCATGACAAACTTGAACGGGATACCATGCGGCCTGCTCGGCTCTCGGTCAAAGCTGAATGCGTTGATTGTCCGTTCGCCGTCATGCATCTGAAGTTCTTCCTCGGGTATTCTCTCGGCGTATAAAGTCACGTACTCATTGATGCCAGCGATCTTAGCATCTTCTTGGTACTCCTTGTAAATTTTGCCACTGTGGGCCTCGAAGATGCGCATTTCTCGAACAACATCATCTTCAAGGTTTGCCTTTTTCTGCAGACCTGCCAAAAGATCTGCGAAGGTGCCGTCCCGAGGCACTAGGACTTCAACCAATTGCTGATGTAAAAATTAGCATAAATGACCCTACGGCTCGATGATACGGTGGACTTACCTCTTTCACAATGCCTTCGGKGAGTAACGTTACTTTCAGTGTAGTTTTCGACTCATAATCACTAAGACTGGTCTCAAGGACTTCGTAGTATAGTGCATCCTGGCGATGCATGCTATAACCGTAGCCACTGACCTGCCCACTAAGGATGTGGTACAGTGTTTGGTTGGCCTGGTTAGGATTGCGTTTAATGAACTGCTTGGGCTTTCCGGTACTTGCAAGAACAGGCGCGAAACGCAGGTGAGTATATTCCACGTTGAGGTGCTCGCCGACCTTCTTCGAGAACTGATCGTATGTCATCTTTCGGCTCAGAGTGAGAGTAAACTCGTCGCCATCAGTCGCTTTGATGGGAGCGAAAGTGATATTTATCCTGTTCAACAAGTAGTCATAATACTGTCTTGCATCTGTGTATAGTGCAGTGGGTGGTAAGTCAGATTCTTTGACTGTGCGTTGAAACGTGATTATGTCGCCGTCTTGAATTTCAGACTGCTGGAAAGTCTGCTTCGGCTTCATCACATCGATCATGTTGTGCTTGATTTCCTCAAAAAGCATGAACTCTGTTCCGGCAGGCCAGTTCATTTTCTCAAGAATTGTAGGGGCGAGTTCAGCGACTTTCTGATTCTTGCGGACGTATACAGCACCGACTCCGGAAAGAGTCTGAGAGGGGACGTCAAAGTTCTTCAAAAAGACAAGAACAGAAGTACTGCTGTCAGGCCACGAGATAGTTCCATCCGCAGATGGTTGCCCAACTTCCATCCATACTTTGAACGGGTTCCCTTTAGTCCCAAATCTGCTGTAGGCCTCTTCCACCGTCATTTCTGGGTCTTTGATGGCTTGGTCTGGCCGAGTCGTCTTGTTTTGACGGTTCACCATCACCCACAGCC